AACACCATGCCCAGTCTCAGTCACCATCTCAGTGCACCTTGGGGAGCAGGGCAAGGGCAGCTCGCTGGGGATTGAACTGTGGCGGCTGCTCTGCCGAAGCAGGCGCTTTAGTCTGCTGAGCTATCTGGCCGGCCCAAAATAATTTTCACAAGTTACAGTTTTCAAGTGTGTGTGAGAATTTCTCAATAGTAAAAAAAATTGACACAAAGCCAAAAATTGAAAAGTTAGTTTTGCTGATTCCTTTTATCTTTTAATCAATTAAGCAATTTAGGGGCCGGCCAGATAGCTCAGCCGACTAAAGCACCTGCTTAGGCACAGTGCAGTGGCCAGGGTTCAATCACCAGCTTTCCGTGCCGGCCCCGCCCACGGGGCGTGCTGAGATAGCGATTGAAACTGGGCGCGGTGGCGCGCACCTGCAATCCCAGGCTTGGGAGGCTTAAAACAGAATCACTATGAGTCCGATCTACGTAGTGAGACCCTGTACCCCCTGTCGACCCTGTCCTAAAATTTATTTTTAAAAAAAGCAATTTAGTGAAAACATACCTTCAAAACTTACATAACTTTCAAGTATAACTTAATCTCTGTCTTCTATTTGAACTACCAGACAGGTTTACCAGGTATTTGAAAGCTTGGAAAATGTTTAGAATATACAAAATAGACAAATGGAGGAGGCTGATTTTAGAGTTGCTTGGAATTTGCCATGAAATCTAAGGAGGAACGGCAGAAAGGGTAGAAGTATAGTGGCATACATTGCTTACCCTCCCTAATCCACTCTCCATGAGTTAATAAATGTTGCTGGCAATTGATTATGATATTCTCTATAATTGTTCTCTATAATATTTCACATTTTCCCCAAATAAAATCTTTTCCCAAAAACTCAACAAGCTTAATGCTTAATGACATTCAAAAGTCAAATATTCTGTGTTAGCTTATGACATAAACAAAGAAAAAAACCATTCATTGCTTGATGATGGTCTTCATTTAGAGAACTAGTATTATACTGAAGACAGGTAACAATCTTGACTTTGAAATGCCTAGTAGTAGCTAGGCATGGTGGTGCATATCTGTAATCCCAGCACTGCAAAGTCTGAGGCAAGAGGATCTCCACAAGTTTGAGGTCAGCCTGGGCTACATAGTGAGTTCAGAGTTCAAGACCAGCCTAAATTACAGAGAAAGCCCTCTCTCCAAAATAAATAAATATATGCATACATACCTAATAGTAATATGATATTAACAAAGCTAATACTTATTTTTTTCATCTGAATTATGGAAGAACAGTATTTGCCTCATTACAATATATTGACTTGCCCCAGGATATATATAAAATATACAAATAAAACTGAATTTTTGCTTAATAGTGTCTTATCTTTCATCATATTAGATATCATTTAATAAACTAATTTGGCTTATTTCTTCATTAATCTAGATATATTTCGACCTTCAGCTATGACCTCCACTGTCTAATCCATTTTCCATCTATCTCTTAGCCTCTTAAAGAAAGATAACAGAAGGAATTATTACATTTATTATTTATTAAAGTACATCAGCACCTAGAACAATAAAGAATATAAGTATGTATACAAAAGAAACAAGTTTTACATGAAACAAAAAAGCTTAAAAGTGCACCAATGGAAATTAAGTCAGACATCTGCTGACTGAGGTCATATTCATATTGCAAATATTCATATTGCAAAACTATAAATCTCCAAAATCTTCTGCTTTATAATACTCAATAGCTAGGAGGTAATTAATCCTTTGGTCAGGAAAATCAACTACAGTCACTTTGAAATACTAGATTTCTGTCTTTTTTAAGTACATTGCAGTTACCTTACAAAGGTAGTAATTCATTGAGTTAATACACTAGCTAATGCTGTAACACTCTGATTTATACTTCGAACATTCAAGAATATTTGCAAAAAAAAAAAAAACAACAAAACTTTTCAGGAGGACCTTCTATTAACAGTTGAACAATGTGAATTGCTAATAATTGCATTAACAGATTCAGAAGGTTTCTCCACCACCTCTACGAGTATCAATCAGGATCAAAATAAGTTTCTTAAAGGTGTATGCACACACACACACACACACACACACACACACACACACACACACATCTGTATTCATACACTTTAATCAAGAAAACAAGCAAAACAAAAATAAATCGCAAAATAATGTTAAAAACTATACTCCATTTCCTCTCAGATCTTGGTCTTTGAGATAATATATGGGTGTAAATTTTGTGCAAAAAAACTCTAAAATAATACTTTAATTTTAAAAATGAGTATTTCCTGGACATTCAATTAGCATAAATGTAACTACTAACCATATTAAAGCATAGAGTTAGCAAGACATTTAAAAAAATTTTTTTTTCTCTTTTTGAGGCAGGCTCTCACTATGTAACCTATGATGTTCTTCCTGCTTCACCTTCCCAAGCTGGGATTACAGGCATGGCCACCACACCTGGGAAACTTTTTAATTTTTTTTTTTTTTGAACCAGGGATCAAATGCAGGACCTTGCACTTGCCATGCAAGTTAAAAATTTTAACTCAAATAAATAGAATTTTATATGTTCCAATATCTTTGTTCTACTTTCTTTTGCAAGTTACTGGTAAGACTCTTTATCTCTTTCCAGTGTTTAAAAAGAAATAATACTTTCATTTTTATTTCCCTTTTTAAATGGTAGGAAATCTATTTTAAGAGTAAAAAACTCCATGAGATATTTTTCACCTTCCTCAAAACAGACTTATCTGGCATACATGATTTTCTTAAATTTATATGTGAGATATAGGATCAAAAGGATGAAGTTCACTCTTAAGAATAATGAGGTATGCCAGAGAGACTTACTCATCTCTCTGTGGAAAGGGCAATGACATACTGTATCTGAGACACATCATTGTCGCACATCATATCCACAATTTGACTATACTGCATTGCTGATCTATTTTAGACACAACCAACTACCGTTTAAGCTTGACAAAATTAATGCTCAAAGCACTTGTGTAGATGATACTTAATCATCTTCCAACAGTAACCAGATCACTACATGCAACAACTAAGCATATAAACTACAGACTAGGAACAAACTGTGTCAAAAGCTTCCTGTGGCAAAATTTGTTGAAACTTAAATAAATTAATTCAGTAAAAGAAAATACACTTCAATAAATGCGTTCATGTGAATGAAGAAGGCTCTTGCAGAGACCCTCAGCAATACTGATCATGGAAACATTGTATATCAGTCTCTTATTTGTGGCTGGCTCCTAACAGCTGGCTGCTGGTTATTACCTCTGGGCTGCTGCTTCATGTATTTATCACTTCTAGCTTTTGCACATGACAGTCGAAGAAAACCTGCTTTCCTAAATGCAAAGATATGTATACTTTCCAACTTAAGCATTTGCTATTTAAGAAGAGTCAAGACAAAAGCCTCCCTGGTAGTCACATATTGTCAGTCATCAAAGACTTCCTGAAAACTAAATTTTGTCTTAATTAATAAATTTTGGAGAGCTGGGGGGATAGCTCGGCAGTCTAAGCGCCTGCCTGGCAAGCACAGGACCCAGATTTGATCCCCAGTAATGCATGGTACTGGCCTGTGCCAAGCTGGCCACCAAAACCAGAGGTGGTGGCACAGACCTGTAATCCCAGCACTGGGGAGGCTGTGACAGGTAGATCATTACAAGTGTGAGCTGTGGAGTAAGACCCTGGTATCAAATAAATAAATAAAGATTTTTTTAAAATTTAGAGTAATTTATAATGAAGAAAAAAATTTAAATATTGAAGCAAATTTACAATATACAGAGATCAACCATGCTAATATGGAAACATTAAAGAAAAATAAATATCCCAATAATGTATTTAAAATTTATTTCAAAACCATAAGTTTCTTTTCCTTAAAAATATGTTGTCAAAGAAGAATATATGCAGTGTATTATTTGTTGAAACTGTACTTCCAATTTGATTTGAAACTGTCTCATTGCTATCTGTTTATCAATAAAATTTTGAAAAAAAATATGTTGTAGTGAAATATTGAACTATAAAACAGATCACTGAACAAATTACATCTAAAAAATGACTTCTCAGTATAAAACATTTTCCCACACATCCAGAGACCAAAAAATTATGACAACATGCTAGGCATCCAAGATAAAAAATACAACATACAAGAGAAGAAAAATAGCACCTTATTAAAGAACCATAACCTCATATAATATAAAAAAGAGGATAATATAAGAAAGAGGATATACAAATATTTAAAAAATAAAAACAGAGATGCAGGCAATAGAATTAAATCTTTAATAATGCAAAGTAGGCATGTTTTCAGGATTAAATTTTTGTGAATACTGTCATTATTATGTAAATATTGCATAAACCTTTAGATTCTGGTGCCCATTTGGGAGTTTGAAGGTATGCATTTAATTTAAAATTTATTCTTTACAAAAGAGCTTGTATGTCAAACAGTACTTATAGGTTTTCCTGTTTGAAAATGGGTTAGAATAGAAAAATACTGAAAGAAAAATACTTAAAAGATACTTAATTGATTTAGTCTTTCCATGGATTTTTCTTAAAATTTTTTTAATCATTTATTTATTTCTTTGGTACAGGGTCTCACTATGCAGATCAGACTCAGTGATCATCCTTTCTCAGCCTCCCCAGCACTCCATAGATTTTAGATGTAAACCTTTTTTTTTTCTACAGAAATCAGTAATTGGTAATACATTGTTATCTTCCCTTAGCAACTTAAAGAAACAATCAAACATTATGACAAAGAAAAAGTCATACAATTTAAAGAGTTAAGCCAGTTGTGGTGGTGCACGCCTGTAATCCCAGCACTCAGGAGGCTGAGGCATGAGGATTGTTGCAAGTTCCAGGCCAACCTGGGCTACAAAGTGAGTGCAAGACCAGCCTGAACTGCATAGTGAGATCCTGTCTCAAAAACAATAAATAAATAAATCATTCACTTAAAAAAATTTAAAGATTTATTTCATATACTAGTTCAGAAGAATCAAGTTGACCTCCATTTCACTGGTGAAAAACAAAAGAAAAGGAATTTTTACTAGTTTATTTTCTAAAACAGGAAAGACAGCTACAGAGACCAATTCCAAATTACATTTGTCCACCATCTGCAACTTGTGAACTGTCCTTTTCCAATTCCAGTAGTTTGTCCAGCTTATTGCCTTCTTTGACCTCTTGATATGTACGGAGCTGTTCCATGAAGCCAGAATTTGGATATACCGAAGGCCTTGCATTTTTCACCAAAGTAAAAGCACTGCTAAAAGAGATTTGTTCAGAATTCATCAGGAAGCCTATTACAATCGCAGGAGCCCGGGAAACTCCTGCATTACAATGAACAAGAACCACACCATCCTGCAATAAAACCAAACAAAGATCTGCATTATTCATTAAAAAGCTTATTGAATTGATCACACATTCTTACATTAAACTATTAGGCAAACATTCTATCTTGTCAACTTACGAGACTTCATTTATCAAAATGTAATTCATTGAAAGCAATGAATGGAAAACCAATCGGTTAATCAATTAATGAATACCTATTCCCCTACCCCCTGCCCAAGACTGAAATGCTATGATAATGTGTGTGAAATTCTGAAACACTATAAGCAAATCTAGTAAGGTACTCATAAAAGCCTAGTAATTGAGTAACCACATGTATATAAATAAGAGAAAACCAGAGAGACTATATATGGCACTATGTTGAAACCAACAGAAACTAAACAAAAAGCCCAGGACATTCCATGTACATACAGTATTCTCATTTTTTTAAAAAGAAAAAAATGTCACTGCTGTATATATCTATATGTAAAGTGATTGGAAAGAATAACGTCTTCTACTGTTGGACATTATTTTATGCTTGGAAAAAGAAAGTACCTGAAAATATTTCAATTTATGGAAAAATAAAATGACACAAATAGCTTATTACAATGGGATGTGAAAAAGGTAATCAGACACCACCATGAGGTCAAAAATAAAAACGTTTCAGGTAACTTGCAAATGATACTTTCCAAGTGAAAAGAGACACAGTGCAAAGCCTGGTCTGCTGGGGCTAATACTGCATTAAAAATGAAGGTGATCTGATGGAAGAGCACTGATACAGCTTGGCCCATCTTGGGCTTTAAAAGTTAATGACCTAAATGAAATGTAGCGGACCCTAAGCCGCTTCACAGAACCAGATATTTTAGTTGCCTGCTTCATTTCTTGATTCTTCATTTGGTGGAAGAAGGAGGACTCTTTTTTTTTTGGCTGTCTCAGGATGCTTTAAGGGCAGGTCTGGAAAGGCATGAGGCTCTGGAGATTGAACCACACTATCCTGAGCCCTAAAAGTTTGGAAGGATTTTTTTTTTTTTGTGCAAGAAGGAAAACTGGGAAAAGGGGAAGGAAAACAAATTACTAAACATCCTCTACCTAAAGGACATAAAACTAACAATGCTATTATTAATCCTATTATAGCAACACTATTACTAGCAATCCTATCACAGCAAAGCTGCTTTATTGTTGCACCACAGTTTTCTCACATTCCATGTATCTGTTGCAAAATGCTTGGATGTTGCAACACATTTGTATCTTTTTTCAAGAACATTAACAACAAAATTACTGAATAGTTTGAAAACCAGTATAAGCAAAAGAGACAAATTCATTTCCTTTCTTAATGGACTGTGTGGGACTCCTTTTCAAACTTTAACTGTTTCTGCACAAAGTAAGGAAAACAAAAATAGTACATATACCCTAAATGTTTCTCACTTTGTAGCAAGAGCTCAATTCTATGACTTACCAGGTTTAAACTGAAAATTATCAGTGAACATCACTTAGTTTAAAATAAAGTAACCAGGTATTCTAAAAAAGTTGAACCTGTGAGCTTAAGAACAGACACCTAAAAAAGAGGTTTGTACCTATGGTGTTTATTTATTATTTCTTGCCTATATCTTGTAATATGAGAAACTACTTTGGCAGTAACAATACACAATGTACTAACCATTGTTACTCTCCTAAAATCTTGTTTTGAGATTTTGTACC